CTCCTTGTTTCCAAGCCATTTCTTGAACGCTGCTTTCTTCTCTTTAACTGCCACTTGCACCTCTCGTGTTCAACATGAAGATTTTTTCTGACCTCCAGGCGGCAGGCCAACCCCTTTATATCCGCAGCATTCGGCAGCAGCCTCGAATATGCCGCTCTTAAACAGCTGCCGCTCGGTATCCACATCAGTTCTCATCACCGGGATCTGTTCAAACCGTCGTACGATGTTGTTTGTAAATTTCGCTCTCGTGTCCACGGAAGATAATGTTTCCAATTTTATTCTCTGGTTGCTTCCGCTACGACACCTTTGGATGGGACTTCATTCCTTACAGCGCAGCGGTCCAGCAACAAGGTGACGAACGGGAGACAACCCTGTTCCTCTTTTAACGCAAACATCCATTACAAAAGTCATAAGTGGCAAAATACGAATACGAAATCGATCATTGACTTCTGTGTACAAGCTTCGCTGCACCAGGTATACTGATGCACGCTTTCATTCTTGAAGAAGTTGTACATAGTGCACATTCAATTGTTTGCACAGAACCGCAACTTCATACGGTCACTGTTGATGTTGCTAGGACAGCTTTTTCCAATCACGGCTTTCCAGTTTCAGCGTCTACTCCAACACGCGCATTATAATCGCACATTGGAATGAATTTGGCAACAATTGCTAACTTAGATGCCAAAAGAACTAAAATATCCCAGAACAGCTAAAACAGTATATATTACATACAACGATGTGGATAAAAGCATTATCGCTTATGTTACAATGCCTCTTTTGACACAACAGGCGATGCCGTCTTGCATCCAATTCACTGCAGGTGTTCAACTTCCATGTAATAAATGCAGCCTTGATTATGCGGTCCCATAGGCACCTACAAACAAGGAAAGAGTGGGTGCACTTTCGTTGTGCAGATACGACTAAAATGGAATGAGCCAAATAGAATGTTTATAAAGATTTTGAATTAATTTTCAGGTTCGATCTGTGTAAATGTTTTTTTTCACATGGGAAAAACATTTCGAGGTTCAGACTTCCATTCTTTGTAAAATTTGAATGAAACAAAATGAGTAACTGCGCACAACTAGGAACTATTATAAAAATTTATTTTAGAAGAGAAAGCACAATAACATTTTGAAGATCTGAACGGACTTTGCGCTTACTAATACTTCGTTAATGACTAATCACCTGACTCCTCCTATCACTGAATTTACCACACAGTACCTTCCAGTTGCTGTTACTTGCCTTAAGAGACAGTTTAAGCAGGTCATGACTATGGGAGCTGAATTTGACACCATACCCACTCAGACGTCATTGAGCCGTGGCTTGCATAAATGTTCCCTGAGCAACTAGGAGCAAAGAGGTAGTATAGAATGTCGCTGAATCTGCCTCTGGAGGAATTACACACCGACATGCGCCGGCGTATGAAAACATTTTTCAAAGTGAGACAAATTATATAACGAATCTGCCATTAATGGGGTCAACATGGCATTCTGGTCTGATCATGACAGAATGGATGAAGCCTTCGGCTACGCTGTCCTACGCGAGCGCCCATTATGGCTGTACTTCGCGTTGACCCACCCACCTGACAAGTAACTGTCCAACGTTATAATCAGCACAAAGTGA